CAGAAAAGATGGCATGCAAATTCGCTTTTAGACTTCGTTGGGTTTACCTATAATTGTCAACCCAGGGGTTCCTGTGCCTGTAGAGAGCTCCATTGACTGTGTGCTAAGTGTAACAGATCGTGTTTGTGTTCTCCTGCCCTGGGGCTAATGTTCCAGTAGACCCGTAGGACATGATAGAATTCTGTGGTAGGAATAGGACAGTCACTGTCTACCTGTAGTCCCCGCTCTGCATGGCAGTCCTGGAACGCTACATGGCTCACTTGTTCATACCTGTTTTCTCAACCCTAATAGTAACAGTGAGTGTCTCCAGTGACCACTAAATCCCCTTCAGTTCTAACACCCTGGTACTCAAGAAGCACTAATTGCCATTGACTGGCTTGTAAGATTGGAGTATATGCCTGACTACATTTTATTTTTATCAAGTAATAATATTTTTTGCAGAATGCTAATGAATGTTTCTTAGATAAAAATGGTAGGAGGCTGAAGCAGGAAGAATTAGAGTTCTAGGTCATCCTGGGCTGCTTAACAAGTGCAGAGCTAACCTACGCTACACAGTGAAACCCTCTCTCAACAGGGGGGGAAAAAAAACTAGCTGTGAAAGTTACTTATGAAAAATTATAGGAGCTGCTTTTTTTTTTTTTTTTAAAGGATTTGTTTTTATATGTCTGAGCTGTTTGCCTTCATTTATATGCCTGGTGCTTACAGAGGCCAGAAATCAGATCCCCTGGAACTGGAGTTACAGATGCTTGTGAGCCACCATGTGGATGGTGGGAATTGAATCGGTCTTCTAGAAGGCCAACCAGTGCTCTTAACATCTGGCCATCTCTCAGCCTCCTACCCCACCACCATCCTTCAGCCATTAACTATGCAAGTAATCGTTGAATGTGAACAGTGGGTATTTAGTTAGCTGCTTTGAGATGGTGTCCTTAGCTTGAATATGTAAATCGGAGTATTCTTGTTAGAAAAGCAAGTGAGACTGGAAGTGGATTGTGATGACAGCGTTTGTGAATTGCAACTGAAATCCTAGTGCAGAGGAGGAGGTGGCAGGAGCCAGCCTGGGCTACAGGAGACCTGTCTCACACAACAAATTGTGTTGTATTGTGACGAGCTCACAGTCCTGGAGAAGTTCCAAGGAGGGAGGGGCGTCCCTTTTCTGGTCCCTTTCTCAGTGCTTCTGCGTGTTCTGTTGTAGGCCTGAAGTGCAGCAGCTGCGAGCCCTTTGCAGCTGGAGCCGCCAACAACCTTTCTAGGTCCAACTCAGATGAGAGCAACTTCTCTGAAAAACAGAGAGCGGCGTCCACCGTCATGTACCATCCCGAAGGGGAATCCAGCACCACTCCCTTCTTCTCTACCGAGTCATCTCTGAATCTGCCGGTCCTGGAAGTTGGCAGAACTGAAAACAGCAGCTTCTCCTCAACCACCCTTCCTCGACCTGGGGACCCTGGGGCCCCCCCTTTGCCCCCAGATCTGCGCTTGGAAGGAGGATCTTGTGGAAACTCAAGTGAAATCTTTCTCCCCTTACGATCACGTGCACTTTCACGCCAGTGACACATCACTGCCTAGTCTTTTTTAATAGTGATGGAAAATGTTGTAAGTGATAGGATCTTTTGATAAAAACCACTCACAGTTTATAAAAAGTTCACTCACATCCGATATGTGTCTTTTAAATCACAGTGTACACACTCTCTGTAAATAGGATTTGTTAGAGTAAAAGAGCACACTCTAGGGGTAGCTGGATGTAAATCATGGGTGTGCGCTTTTCCATATTGTCTTTTTTTTTTTTTTTAGATGTTTAGTATTTTTAACTTTGTTATAAGACTAATTTTATCAGAATACTTCTCAATTTGAGAAATCAACTCATGGGCTGAGAATACTGTTTCTCAGCACACTTATGCTACAAATTCTCAGTCAGATCATTTCCCAGTGATCTGGCAGTACATTTCAGCAGGAAGCTGTTCTGACTTGCAGTAAAGCCAGGCCATGGGAAAGCTGCCCAAACGCTAAGGAGGATCTCCCCTCCTTGGTTCTGAGAAGCCTTCGGGTTCTAAAGAAACACCTAATGGCATTGAGCCACCTGTGACCTCAGTTGGTCAAAAATCACTCTGGACTGCTCTTGCCAATTAGTGTGACTGTCTGGAATCCACAGTCCTTGTGTCATCATTCTTGTCCCTAAAGAATATTGTCCCAAGCCGAGGTGGCGTATGCCTTTAATCCCAGCACTTGGGAGCTAGAGGCAGGCAGATCTCTGAGTTCAAAGCCAGCCTGGGCTACAGAGGGAGTTCCGGGACAGCCAGGGATACACAGAGAAAAAAAGGAATGTTAACCAATAGGATACTACTTGTAATTAATATTACTTGTAACTGATTAAAAATATTTCCTCTGAGCCTTTCAGTCTTTTTCAATGAACACTGCTACATGGATAAAGTAACTGGGACAATTGATTTTGGAATGTGTGACAGTTTTGTTTTTAATATTTTCATCAAGCAGCCACTAGCTACATCAGTTTTTATTGTATTACAAAGTTTGACTAACTTTACACATTTAAAAAATGCTGATTGTTTTCATTTAAATTATAATTTTACATATTTCCTGACATCCATCTCCTGTATATTTCTATTATTTAAAAATTAAGAAATGAAAAGTTGCTATTAACAATAAAAATTTTTTTAAGGTAGTGATGTTTCAGAGTCAAAAACTCAAAATGTCTGGTTTCCAAATGTCTGACCCTTTTTTATACTGGTTTTTAAAGTAGAAAGCAGTATTTCAAAGCCAGATTCTTGGGCGCAGGAGGGTTGTAAGTTTGAGGTTACACAGTGAGTTCAAGGTAAGCCAGAGTCCGTTGTCGAGACTGTCTCCAGAAGTGGTGAGGCGGTGAGGGGGCGTTGGGAACGAAGAGGAGGAAGAGGGGAACATAAATTGAGAAGACAGTGACTCAGTAGGATATAATTTGTTACTAAGTTAATTGATACAGTAGTAAAAAGTTACTTTTCAGGAATACCAGATTAACACAGTATACAAATCATACCTCCGCATTCACTTTTTTATTGCTTTTTTAAAAAGTATGCTTTTTGTACAGTTGTAGGTTTAACAGAAAAATTGAGCAAAATAATTTATTAAATACTTCTTCCTCCCTGTTTCCCATACTTCTTTTATTGATGTGATAACTTGTTAAAGTTGGTAAACCAATATTGATACATTGTTATTAACCAAAGTCCGTATTTGGATCTTCCCTTCATTGTATAAGTTGCAAGTTTTTAGAAATATGTATTACACATCTACCCAAAAAGTGTCATAACCAAATTGTTAATTTCACTGCTTTAAAAAAATCTTCCCTGGTTCATCTGTTCAGCCTCCCCTCATCCCAGTCCTAGCAAGCGTTGACCTTTTCTAGAATGTCTATTGTTGGGGCATAAAGAACAGAGCAGTCTCAGGCTGCTTTCAGCTCCTCAGGCTTTTCAAGATGTTCCATGAAGAGACTCATCCTTAGCATAGTACTTGAAGGGTCAGACAGGCCAGGATGGTGGCAGTTATTAGGTTAGGCTGGCTCTTTGTTTTGTTTTAAATCTGGCTTTTTAGTTTTGTTTACATTTTTCACTTGTTTATTATATAGCTGTGTGTAGTATATATGTGAGTACATGTGTGTGTGTGTGTGCCTGTGTATGGAGGCCAGAGGCCGATGTCTGGTGTGTTCAATTGCCCTCCATCTTATTTTTTGAGACAGCAACTGGCTTACCCTGGAGCTCACCCTTCGGCTAGCCTGGCAGATCCTGGGATCCTCCCGGCTCTGTTCCCCCATGCCCTAGAGTTACAAATGTGTACCACTACATCCAGCTTCTGTGTGGTGTTGGGAACCCACACTGGGTGAGCGGATGTGTGCAGCAGGCACGTCACTGACCCAGCCATCTCACCAGCCCCTGCTAATCAACTCTGAGTCCTTATTTGTGGTGCTAGAGATTTCTGTCTCCTGTCCAAGAGACTTTGCCATCCCAGCATCTTGATACTGGTTCCGAGTTTTCTGGAAATTCTGTTGTTTTACTTATCCATTTAGCTCTCATTCCTGGTTGGTTGGTTTTTGAGACAGAATTTCACAGTAACCTGTGGTGGCCTCAGATGTCTGATCCTCAGCCATTCACTGTCATCTCCCCAGGGCTGAGATTCCAAATACGCACCTCCACACCAGAACTGAGGATGATTTGGGGGACGCCAGCCAGCACTTTGTACTTTGAGAACATTTTTATCTCTGTCAGTCTAGGTACTTGGATGGAACTTATTTTGGAAACACTTAGACCTATTTTCTCATAAATAATCCAGTATTCATTGATGTAGTCCGTGGACAGCCACCAAAATAAATACTAGGAATATAAACATGAACAAGGCAGTCTAGCCCCTTCCATCATCAAACTCATTGCATTGTCCCATAGCATTTAGAAGTTAAGAATCATACAGAGCGGCAAGTTGTTAATGAATGTGTCGACTTTGACCAGGGATCCTTAACTGGGATCTAAATAGATACAATGATACCAACTTCATTAGGGGAGGGGGTAAAATTACCCCACTGGCCTCTAGCTTGTGGCAATCTTCCTGCCCTATCCTCCCAAGGGCTGGGGTGAGAAGTGTGCGGTCCCACTCCCCCATGCTTGTTCTTACTGTTGTTTTGTTTTGAGACAGTGTCTCCTACATAGTACTAAGCTGGCAAGAAGCCCCTTGTATACACCTCTCTGGCCCTCAAATTTGCAACAGCCCACACGCCTCAACCTAGGATTATAGGCATGCATCACTATGCCTGACTTTTCTGTGCCGTAATTACCAGCCGAGAGTTTGGCTGTGGCCACTGGTACAGATCCTAGGATTCTCTGGGGAAAAGCAAAAGTAATCTTGCTCGGGATTGTGGGATCCCCGCCTCCAGCCTCTTTCCCTCCGCCCAGGAGTAGGTGCGCAGCACCGCCGCTAGGGGACGCAAACGCATCACTTGCCAGTCTAGCGACGGGGCGGGGCCAGTCGCGGCTTCCGGCTTCCGGCCGAGAGGGTGGTCGCCCGCCGCCGTCATGGCAGCTGAGGAGAAGGACCCCCTGAGCTATTTCGCGGCTTACGGGAGCAGCAGCTCCGACTCGTCGGGCGAGGAGAACAGCGAGCCGGAAGACGGGGGTCGCAAGGAGGCGGCGCCGGCTCCGACGACGGGCGGCCGCGGGAAGCCGGCGGAGAAGCGGCTGCCGGGCCCCGACGAACTGTTCCGCAGCGTGACCCGGCCGGCCTTCCTCTACAACCCGCTCAACAAGCAGATCGACTGGGAGCGGCACGTGGTGAAGGCGCCCGAGGAGGTGAGGTCCCCGGCCCCGCGGCCGCCCCGGGGCCCCGCGGCCACCCCCCACACGCACGCAAGCCGCGGGAGGCCGCGCGTCCCCACGGCCCCGGGAGCCCGGGGGGTGTCAGCCCGGGCCCGCCCCTCCGCGCTCGGGGCCCCCAGCCGGGCGACGACTAACGGTGGTGACTCCCCGCCCCCCGCTGCAGCTTCTCCCCGAGACCCCTTCCCTTTGACGCCGGAGTGCCTGCGCTGCTGCCGCCAAGACAGTGTCTCTGCTGCAGCCTCCTGAAGGGGTCAGCCTGGCCGTAGTATCTGAGACTGGATCCTCCTTTGGTAACTAAAAGTTATTAGCTTTATTTATATAGGGAGCCCTGTGACTTTTCACTGAACAGTATTGTGATGTTGATAGAAGGAAAAAAAAAAAAAGGGTGTCTTTTAAGCCTAAAGGATTTTTTTTTTTTTAAAAAAGAAGCCAGCCAGAAAGATGAGCAGTCGGCAGGGAGGTGCATGCGCTCGTGTCCATCGCGGGAACCTCGGTTCGTCACAGGGCCTCTTCCTGTGCTTACTTAACAGCCTCCAAAGGAATTCAAGGTCTGGAAGTCCACCTGTGTGCCACCCCCCGAGACCTACACTACCGAGAAGAAACCGCCGCCGCCGCCGGAGCTGGACATGGCAATAAAATGGTCGAACATCTATGAGGACAATGGTGATGATGCCCCACAGAATGCTAAGAAAGCCCGGCTTCTGCCGGAAGGGGAGGAGACCGTGGAATCGGGTAAGGGTGCTGTCGAGATTGCAGCCCGTGGTGCTTTAATCTTTAAGGAGTGCACACTCAGTGAGCACGGTTGAGACCCTGGTGGATTGGAAGACTTGACTTTGGATACTAACAAGAAGTCATGTCCATCTTTCGGGTTTTTTGTTTTATGTTGTGTGAGACAAGGGCTGTGTAACCGGGATGTTCTCTGAGGCCAGCCCGTCTTTGCCTCTCAGTGGTAAGATGAAAGGTATGGGCCACCACTCCCAGCTGCTGCTCTACTAAGATCTAAGAATGTGTTCTGCCTGAAAGTAGTCTCGGAAGTTTCGAGGGTACGTGCTTGTAGGATGCCTTATTAGAGCGGCGGGTGCTGATTCAAGGGTGCCTGGAACTGCAGCTGGGACATGCTGAAGGCTTCATTTCTGCTAAGACAGTTGTGCGTTAGAGCTGAAATGAGGGCGGCAGAGTGTAATCAGCTGTGCATGGGACAACCGTAGTCGTGGTTTGATTTTCTTGCCTTTGTTGGTAATCTCATAATTTCACCTCTCACTTGGACTACCACAGTAATCTCTGCCTGCAAACTCTTACCCCTGCTCCTCTGTGTCTCAGGCTTCTAAAATTTATATCTGACTGTGTAACTGGCTTGCCCCCAAACCTCCACAAACAGAAGAGAGCTGGCGCTTTCTTTGTGACCCACCAGTCCCCCTCACCACCATCCTTTCGAAGGGCTCCATTCCAGCATTTTAAGATGTTGAAATTTAGACCTGAGTGGAGCACACTTTCATATGGGTCCCTGGCTTTTAATGTACTTTTCACCATAGTCTAGACTGAACGTTTTAAACTCTGGGCTGATAAAGCCGTCCATCTTACAAAATCCAACATGCAAACAATTTCTAGTTCACTCTTGATAGTAATTATTCTCCTTTACCTGGGATGTGCCATGCTAATTCATCGTAGTTGTGTGTGGTTATTCCTTCATATGCCCTCTCCCTTATGAAATCCCGGACCTGGTCCTCTGTGTGGTTCCATAGTTAGTAGCACATTGTGAGTGAATGACTGTAGAGTTGAGCTCAGCACTGTAGACTATTAAAGGCCATTTGCCTTTTTTGTTAAGCAGATTTCTGATCTTCCAAAAAAAAAAAAAAAAAAAACAGATTTCTGATCTTCCATTACAAGGACCAGCGTTACAGAGAGACATTTAATAGAAGGGGTTCCTGCTATAGCTGAGGATAACCTTGAACTCCCTCCTGCCTTCACCTAGCGGGGAGTATAGGCATATACTATGTCAAGGTTTTTATTGAAGATCTTAAACAAAGTGTGAATTTTAATACCTCTTATCGTATGGCACTTTGATTAAAAAGTATTTTTGAATAAGGAATCCTTATGCAGTCTTACAAAACCAGAACAGGGAAATACAGAATGAGAGCTTATAACTTGTCCAAGGTCGGAGTAAATGTTTCATACACGTTCCTAATTTAATATTAACAACCTGACACAAGAGTGACCCATAGTTCATTATCACTGTCTTGTAGATGAGGAAACAGTCTGACGTGAGAGAATTTGCCTAAGTTCACACCATTGGGAACTGAGAAAATAGGACTTCAAATTCAACCTTGAGATAGCATCTGTGCCTTATTAAGCTAAGGTTTGGTCACATCATGTTTTCACAGTTTAAGAAGTAATCATTCTTCTCAAGGGACCAGAGTTGATAATCCAGGTTGCTGTAGTCTAGCGCTCTTACATCTCTGGCCCTTTATGATAAAGGCCAGAAATTATATTCAAGTAAGCAAGGATCATCTTTTTTCTAACTTTTGGGTTCAGTTACCAGAAATTCAAATAATGGCAAATAACGCCCACATTTCCATAGCTAATTCTGTCCTTTTGATCAGAAAATGAATGTCAGCAATTGAAAAGACACAAAGACCAACGTTTTTCTGGGTTAAAGCTGGAACATATGACTCAGTGGTTGTTCTAAGACTGAGGAAATAGCACAGTCATAAAGTACTTTCCTCACAGGCATGAGGACCCAGGATCCGGAGTGCTGGAATCAAATCTTAAATTGTTAATTTGGATTTAAGCATTGGTTACTGAATCTAACTCTTGTAATAAATGCCTCCACCTGTTTAGAGATTGGGTCTGAAACTCGGCGTGTAGCCATGACCATGAACTTCTGATCCTTCTGCCTCTGCCTACCAAAATGAGATTAAAAGTGTGTGCCACCCTGCATGCACATTATGTATGTGGTCTTAGATACTGAGCTTCATGTATGCTAGGTGAGCATTCTACTAACTCAGCCACATCCCCAGCCACTAGTTTCCTTTTGAGAAGTGACTTTTTGTCATTGCAGGCTGCCATACTAATTTGTCTGTCATTGTCTTTTTGTATGTGTGTGAGTATGGAGGCCAGAGGGCAACTCTGGGTGTCAACCCTTGTCTTCTGCCTTGTTTGAGACTTTCTGCTATGTATGTATATATGTATATGTGCATACTATGTCTAGCTGGCCTTTGAGCTGGGCATTCTCTGTCCCTCCCACATTGCCATGGGAGCAGAGGTTATAGGCGTGTTAACTGGTCAGGCTTTTTTGCAGAGACGACAGGGATTCAAATTCATGTCCAGAACCACCTCCCCAGCCCCTGACAACATTGTTTACCTATAGCTTGTAATTAATGAAGCATGTATTGGAAAGTCTGCCCACTTAATTATATTTTAAATTCATCATTAAGCTACCTTGCTTTTATTTGGCTATCCTATATTCTTCCTTTTTTCTTTTTTGCCACTGATTTCCAGAATTTAGAGGAGCTGAGAAAGTTTAGATCCAGCCTTGCCTCTCACTGTTTTCCAGGGCTGCTTGTTTAGTGACCGTGAAATACAGAAAAGTAAAACTTAGATTTTCATAGTGTTATTAACAAATAACTGCAAAAGCCAGCTAATGGAGCAAGTGATTTTTATTTAACTTTTGTTTTAATTGTAAAAGTACACAGGTTAAGTTAATGTTGTTTACCTTGGGTGATTCAAGTTGTGTAATATCAGTGTGTCTGTGTATGTTAGGGTTAGTTTTTAAAAAACAAAAAAGCAGAAAGCTATTCCTGTGCTGGTTTTTAAGGCAGTACCTTATTTTGACGCTAGGGGACAGGAGCTCTGCTCCAATCACTCATGGAAACTCATTTTTTCCAATTGTAGTAGTATGTGGTTTCAGTGTTTTATCAGTAGATTTACCTGTATTAAGTGACAGAATAAAAGCAGAAATGTCCCTTTTTAATGTGTGTTAATAGTGTGGCTTGATAGTAGTCTTCAGAAAATGCTTTTAACTTTTTTTTTTTTTTTTTTTTTGGTTTTTTGAGACAGGGTTTCTCTGTGTAGCTTTGCGCCTTTCGTGGAACTCTCTTGGTAGCCCAGGCTGGCCTCGAACTCACAGAGATCCGCCTGGCTCTGCCTCCCGAGTGCTGGGATTAAAGGCGTGCGCCACCACCGCCCAGCGCTTTTAACTTTTATGTTACTATTTCTGAAAATAATTTCAAGGTAAACTTGATAATTAAACTCCAGCTAAAAACCATAGTTTGTTTGCTTGAAGTGGTTATGGTGGCTTCACACCAATATTCCCTACACTCAGGAAGCAGGAGGGTGTCAGGCATTTGGACCCAGCCTGGATTACAGATTTTTGTCACATGATATGTGATTTGACCTTGGCAGTTTCCCTAATTTTTTTTTTTTTCAAGACAGGGTTTCTTTGTGTAGCTTTGCGCCTTTCCTGGATCTCACTCTGTAGCCCAGGCTGGCCTCGAACTCACAGAGATCTGCCTGGCTCTGCCTCCCAGTGCTGGGATTAAAGGCATGTACCACCACCGCCTGGCAGTTTCCCTAATTTTTTAATGTGAAGGTCTTAAGTCATCAAAATATTTTATATGTCACTGTATTATACCTTTTGAACTTTAGGTATGCTGTTGATCAAGAAAATAAAGTTCATCCAGACATGGAGTCTTGTGTCTGTAATCTTAGTACCTGGAAGGCTTGAGGTAGGAGAATTATGAAATCAGGCAAGTCTAGGCTACGTAGAAAGAAAGGGAGGGGAGAGGAGAGAAAGCAGAGTAAAGTCAAGGCTAATAGTGTTCAGTATAGGGTGGTTGTCTGGAAGGCATAAGGCTATGGGGTTTGGTCCCTGGTACCATGGAAGTAAGGCAGTCAGAAGCTGTGTGTACCTATACGGAATTCTTCTGGAGTGGGGCCACCGATGAGGCAGGGTGTTACTATGTATAGCTGGCTGGCCTCAAACTCATAGCAGTCCTCCTGTCTCAGCACTCAGAGTGCTAGGACTGTAGACCTACTACCACCACACCTGGCTGGAATTCTTTGCATCACACATTTGCTTAGGGAGATATGAATTAGCAACTAGTCTGTGCCAGCCTGTGTACATTGAACCACTTAATTGAATTTTTTTTAAATAGAGTAAAAAGATCCACTTTTTCAGGCATGACATTTTTATTCATGGAAATTTTCTGTGGCCATAGACAATAGCAGTGGGGAAGCGGGGTACTATCTATTGTAAGGTTCTGTAGTCTTCCTCATCCAAATTTTCCTTAATGTGAAGGTGGAGCCTGCTTACTCTGTTGCTTTTAAGATGTTCTGACCGCCTAGGAGGGAATGGTCCAGATTTAGAACAGATACCTGTGAGATTCTCTGACCCTTCACTTGTGCTTTTAACGTCAGAACGTATAGTGGGTTGATCATAAGACTGGGAGAGGAAATCGGAGAGGAAAAGTACAGCTGGTGGCCACTTAGTGAGGCTAACAGGCGATGCATGTTCTGTAGAAGGAGACTGTGTTCTGTTCTCATGAAGTGTGGTGTGTATCTAAATGCATGCAGTGTGTGCACTGGGAAGTTTGGGACCGACCAGCTGTTTCAGAAAAAGCTGGTTTTGTGAAGTAAGATAAATTAAGCCACATTAACGTGTCCCTAAGAAGTTAATTTACAAATGTTGTATTGCTGTAATTTAAAAAAATGCTTGTTTCCATATGTAGTTTAATATCAGGGTTCTAAGAATTAGTATTTAGTTTTTATTGGTAAGTTTTCAAACAGCTGATGAGCTTTTGGCATAAAGCTAATACATGAGTTTTCTGTGTTGATCTCTTAAAGACTCACTAATGACACTCTCTTCTTCCTACTTGAAGATGATGACAGAGATGAGCTTTTGGTATAAAGCTAATACATGAGTTTTCTGTGTTGGTCTCTTAAAGACTCACTAATGACGCTCTCTTCTCCCTACTTGAAGATGATGACCGAGATGAGCGTGCATCTAAAGCTCGAAGGGTGGAGCCAGAAGCAGCCAAGAGGAAGAAGTAGAGAAGCAGTGGCGACAGCACTGGGCTGCTGAGTTCCTGAGATGTGTCGTTGGCTGCAGTGTTTGCTATTGTGGTTCTCATGACAGACATCTCCATGAGAGTATTTATGTTAATGAACTAACAAGTACCGTCTCAAGACTTTCCGCTGTAGAACTGAGGTTTTTATTTAAAACCTGTATGTATTTACAACTCTAATGGTGACCTGTGATTGTGAACTGACAGTACTTGGAAGCATTCTGGCTATCACAGAATTGGTGACAGGCTTTGAGAGTTTTGTCACATGGACATGCCAGTGTTCTTTGGACCTTTTATAAAGGAATCTATTTTTAAAGTAAATATATTGTAATGTACTGTGAACTTGTGGGTGCTCTTCATTAGTGTCTGTACAGTGTAAATAGATGATCATGGAAATAAAATTACTTCCGTCAACATTGCTATTATTGTATGCCACTAACAAGTGTTTGTAACAAGCAGCCTGTTTGCCCTGTGACCTTTTAATTCACAGTAGGGATTAGCATGTAGGGAGAGCCTCCCATGTTTAGGTGCCTTGTGCATACTTCTCTCCAATGGTCCTGTAAAGTAGACGTTAGTATCCTATTTTGTAATGAAGAGAGCTAGAAGAACTGGACAGGGCTACACAGCCAGTGAGTGGAGACTAGCAGATTCACTCAGGACTGACTCCAGAGTCAGATTAAACTACCTGACCTCTCAGCAGACTAAAGGCATTTTCCAAGAAGGTTATCATCTCTTTCACATACACTTCTGTTGTTAGGGGAGGTCTTTCCCTGCCCTGGTTATCAGCTGCACTTAACATACCATACATGCCTTATAGTGTGATTATTTTTTCATCTCATTAAATATGTTGAAGATAGGCTCTTCTATGAAAGATTACCAGATTCAGCAAAGAAGAGCATGTCCAGTTAAATTTGAGTCTGAGTATATGTGATATAAGACACTGCTGTGGGATGTTCTGTATGGCAAATGTGTTGCTGATTGGTCAATAAATAAAACACTGATTGGCCATTGGCTAGGCAGGAAGTGTAGGCGGGACAAGGAGGAGAATAAAGCTGGGAAGTGGAAGGCTGAGTCAGAGACACTGCCAGCCGCCATGATGACAAACAGCATGTGAAGATGCCGGTAAGCCACGAGCCACGTGGCAAGGTATAGATTTATAAAAGTGGATTAATTTAAGCTGTAAGAACAGTTAGCAAGAAGCCTGCCACGGCCATACAGTTTGTAAGCAATATAAGTCTCTGTGTTTACTTGGTTGGGTCTGAGCGGTTGTGGGACTGGCGGGTGAGAGAGATTTATCCTGACTGTGGGCCAGGCAGGAAAACTCAAGCTACAAGACACATTAAAAATTCATCTGAAATTCCAGTTTAACTGAGCATCTTGTTTATTTTGTGGGCTGGGGGTGAAGCCCTAATCTTTTCCATGCTAGGTGAATGCTTTGGCAGCTGCTGCACTGCATGCTTTCTTTGCCCAGCTCCTGTGTTAATGCTCTGTGTGTAGCAAGCAGTGCAAAACGAATCTCTAGTCTGTCTCCTTCCTGGGTCCTTTATTCCCTGGGTCCTTTTCCAACTTCACTGGACTAGCATACTCTTCTGTTTGCCTCAAGCTTGTATATACAGCTCTATCTCCACTTGTCTCAAAGGCCCCACATGCTGTGCCAAAAACCACCGCCCACATTTCGTTTCTGCCCCATGCTGTACCACCTCAGGTGTGGTGGAAACATCCTACCATTTCTATGATGTTCTCACACAGCTCTTCATCCAGCTGCAAGAGGTGGTTTACAGTTCCCAGGTGTGCTGTTCAGATGCATCTTTATGTTCTGCTTTAAACCCTTGGCTTGGTCTAGCTCTTCTCTGGAGACCTAGTCAATTCTCCCAGAGTTCAAGTGTTCCCACCTTCATGATCTTGGATTTATTTCTGTCTGCCCACTACCTCACTCCTCAATACCAAGTTACTAGCCAAAACATACCAGATCCTTACTGTGGGCCAGGCTTTGTGCTATGTTCTTCACAAGATTCACAAACATGTTCAACTTGGTAAGAGGGATTATTACTACTTCGCAAGGGAAGAAAATGAGGTACAGAGACTAATTTACATGGGTGGAGGAGATAGCCCAGTGGGTTTAGTAAACTGTTAAACCCAGAGTTCAATCCCTAGAACCCACAAGAACAGTTCCCACAGTTATCCTCCAGTCCACACTCACATGTGCACCCCTTCCCAAACACATACAAATAAATAGTTTTTTCTTTTTTATGTTTAAAGGGGGGGGGGGGACGACAGTCACATCAACATTTAAATTTTTTAAAGATTTAAACATAAAAAGCAAACCGGGCAGTGGTGGCACACACCTTTAATCCCAGCACTCGAGAGGCAGAGCCAGGCAGATCTCTGTGAGTTCGAGGCCAGCCTGGTCTACAGAATGAGATCCAGGAATGGTGCAGAGCTTCACAGAGAAACCCTGTCTCGAAAAAAAACAAACCAAACAAAAAAAGCAAAAATCAATTTATTCAAGGGAGATTCAGGCAGTATGGCTCCAGGGCCAGAGCACTCACTACACTGAGAAATGAATGCCAGAAGTCACCTGTAACTAGTTTATTCATGTGTATTTGGTTCAAAGAATGTCTTACCCTTGGGGTATTCATATAACTAAGGAATTAAAGCAGGGCAGGAGTGATGGCTCAGCAGTTAAAGGCACTGGCTGCTCTTCCAGAGGACCCGGGTTCAATTCCCAGCACCCACATGGTAGCTCACAACTGTCTCCAGTCGCAGGGGATCTGACCCTCACACCAATGCATATAAAATAAAGTTAAATCAATTTTTTTTTAAATTAACAAATCCAAAACTGACCATAGGAGCCATATTGCAGTATTGATCTAATGTGCCAGAAGCATCTTTCAGATGGACCAATTTAATACAAAGTCAATATGCAAATGATTTAGGAAAGTTAATGCATATTTCAAGGACTTAGGCTTTTCATTTTAAAGATCTTTAACTAGAGCCTTAAAGCAGCAAGTCTAAGACTATGTCCTCCTTCCAATAACAGTTTTCAAGGGTAGGGATGTAGTTCAGTAGTGCTTATTTGGTGTGTACAAAGTCTCCAAGACCCTGGGTTCAATCTCTACCACAGACAGACAGACAATGTAAATATGTATATCCAGCATTTCACTTGTTTGTTTATGGCAGTGCTGGGGATCAGACCCAGGGCTGACACGTGGTTTGCCACTATCCCTTATTTTGTCTTGCAAAGTCAAAGGTCTCCAGGCAACCACAACCTCTCCCTGAAAGTCTGCTGGTTTTCCTTTCATTTCTAATTAGGGCTTGAGTTTAAAGTTGTAGCACCTAGACACCAGCACCCACAGGATGTGTGAGGGCAGCCTTCCCACAGCTGGTATTGTCTTGGGTGTGAGCATCACCTCGCTCTTTTAGGTTCATGAAATGACAGGCTTACAAACCAGACTTGAAATGTCTGTAGCATTCTGGTACCCTGGGGCTGGAATTCCCTTCTCTGGCCCTGTGTTTAACGTTTCCTGAAAAAGGAATAGAAACAGGATTTGATGCACAACATTGAAGAAAGAGGAGAGCTGTTTTCCCAGCATAATTACCTGCCTCTGCTTCTAAAGGGGACTCAGATCCCAGCAACCCTCTCTGGCATGCCTTGGAGTTTGTATTCACATTTTAAATTTAGAATCCCACAGGAAAGTGCCATGGGATAACCGAACAATCACTTCCAACTAAGGAAGTGACCCGGCCAGCAAAGGACAAGCAAGCCAATGCAGAAGTAACTCTAGAGGTGTCAGTACTGTGGAAGTTTTAAGACCCTGTTGCTATTTTTCCTAGTTTTAACTTTGGACGCACACACACACACACACACACACACACACACACACACACACACACCCCTGTGGTGGCTTTCTCTTACTACCTATAGAAAGCTCCCTTTCCTCACCATGGTCAGCCTTGGGCCTTCACCTCAGATTCTGTCCTAACTACGGAAAGTGGCCCAAGAGCTCTGCAGTAGAATTTCCTCCATCTATCTGGAGCCTATATGTCAAATTTGTAAAACAGCTCACTCTATCCTCTCCCTCCTCCCCCATCCTTCTCCCTTCCTTCCTCCCTCTTTCCCTTCCCTCCTCCCCTTCTCCTCCAACTCCTCTCTCTTTCTACTTCTTCTCTCCTGTCTTCCTCTGTCCTTTTCCCCTTCCTCCTTCCTCCTTCCGTCCCCTCCCCTCCTCCTCCTTCAATTCAGCTTAATTGCTTGTGTTCCCCAAGCACCCTACCCCACTGTCTCTCCCTACCAAACTAATTAGTGCAATTATCTGTGCCATCCATGGCTACAGATCAGTTAAAGCCTGTTATTGAGGTTAACAAATGAGAGGGTTAATTTTTCCTAACTGCTCCGTAGTTGGGAAAGGAAGATAATAAGTCCTCATGTTTGTGCTTTTGCGTTCTCAGGCTCCCTTCACCCTGTGCCCAGCGGCCACCCAGAAAAGGGGTTTACCATGGCTCTCCAGAGTCTCCGGAGCCCAGACATAAGTGGCTCAACTCTGAACCGAAGCATGGAATTCACCACCACACACCAACGGGCCCCAGCCTTGCTGGTTCAGGGTGGGAAGAGATTTTAGTGCTGTTTGAAAACATATTTTCAGGTCCTTCCTGAGCCAACTAGAGATGCTAACTTAAAACATTACGTGGTAAATGGCTTTTTCTAGACAAACTGGTTGGTGCCCTCTATATTTCTCTCTTCGAGGATGCCGAATTCACCCAGTGGGGCTGGCTGGTTATGAGCTACCTGGCTTGTCCACTCTTTTTCCACTTCTGTTTCCCCTGTAACCCGAGGAAGGTGATCCCGTGTCGCCCAGGCTGGGGAGCCCAGCGCAGGGCCTCATTTCGTCTTTTGCTCTGGAGGGTTTCAGATCCCACGAGCCGACACTGAAGAGAGGAGCTGATGGAGCATTCAAATTTTCTTGTTATTTTCATGGTTTCGACTAATTTTTCCAATAAGAATTATGGGACTTTGGTAAATAAGTGAGAATGCATATCAGTGTCCTCAGAGATGCCACAAGCTAGGGAAATGACCTGAATGTCACAGAATGTCACACACACAGAGCCCTCCACGCTTGTGTTTGGGTTCTGCTGTTGTTTTTTTGCTACAAATGTATTTAGTCTTTTCAAAACCCAGAACATTTTGTACCAAAAATACACATTATTATTAAGTCCAGTTGCTTCAGTTAATTCTCATTATGTCAATGTTACATATAAATTCTTTGAAATACTAATATTCACAAAAGTTTTTCTGATTATGAAAAATGATACTTTCTCACTGTAGAAGTTCTAAAAACAGAAACAGGAAAACTATAGGCAAAAAAATCTATTATACAATATTCTCTTAATTTTCTATACATATCATGGACTTCGGCTAGACAAGATACCTAATCTCTTACATGTAACCTTTCAGTGCCATAAGAATTCTTTTTGGGTTTTTTTTGGGTTTTGTGGGGGGGGGGGGTAGCCTTGGCTGTCCTGAATCTAATTCTATAGACCAGGCTGGCCTTGAACTCACAGAAATCCACCTGCCTCTGCCTCCCAGTACTGGGGTTAAAGGCCTGCACCATTACTGCCTGGCACCACATGAATTCTTTAAAAATCTATTTTTGGGGTGCTGAAGAGATGGCTCAGCAGTTAAGAGCACTTGCTGTTCTTGCAGAAGACCTGGGTTCAGGTCCTACCGCCAATAGTGAATGGCTCACAACCATCTGTTCCGGGGCGCTGATGTCCTTCCTTTTGGCCTTTGAGGGCACCTCCATGTACATGGTACACATATGTACACTCAGGTGCGCACATACACACACACACACACACACACACACACACACACAAAATAAATAATTTTTAAAACTTTTACAATTATTCAACTTCGTTGTATCATAATTTATTTATCATTTAGCTATCAGATGATAAAATTACTTCCAAAAATTTTTACCACTATAAATAACACTATGGTGGACATTTTCAGTCTTTAGTAACAGTGTTGATCATAGAACTGCTTTTCTCAGTTTTCAACATGAAATTATAAATACTTAGAGTTGTTTGGTTTGCTTGAATTCAAGCTCCTAACTTCCTGTTGGGGGTGAAGTGGGGAGGGTCACTTGGAGCCTAGGTGGTCTTCCAACTTGCTCTGTGATGGACAAATGACCTTAAACTCCTGCTCCTCCTGCCTCCACCTCCCCCGTGTTGGGATTATAAGCATGCACCACCGCGCCCAGCTTCTGCTCCTAACTTCTTGAGGCTGCATTTGAATAGCCACTTTCAAAGTTTTTGTACACCTTGAAATTCTAAATGTTAGACTTCTCACCACTAACTAGCCCTTTGTG